AAAAAAAAAAAAAATAGTTCTAATTCAAGGACTATTCAAGGAAGATAATTCCAGTAAGCATCAGCCTACCAAACTAAAGGTCTCAATGGGTATATAAGATTTACAAATTTACTATACTTTTCCTCTTTAATCATAAGATGTCTTTGTTTTCACAAAAGACTAAAAGAAAAAAGATGACTAGAGAGAATCTGAAATGATACTCCATGTTTTCTAGAAAAACTAGAATGGTTGGTTTGTCTTTAGACCTCTGGAGAGGAGAAGGTGCTAAATGGTGCCCATAATTTTCACTTCAGATGTTTTTACTGCAATATCAAATTCTCCCACTAATATATATATACCAATAGCGAGCAGATTTCAAACACTAAAATGAAAACAAAATAATTACCCCGCAGCTCAGTTAAAATGTCTATTTTTTGCTCAAGAATAGCTTCGAGTTGTGTGGCATATGAATCTACATCATAGTCTACTTCTTCAGTCATCTCTAGGAGAGCTTTTTCATCTTCTAACCATCGAATAGATTCCTAAAAGGACAAAAAAAACAGTAATACAATAAACTTTTCTGTAAAACAAACCAATTTACAAATTTTGTTAAATATAAACATATGTTAAGATGGTATTCTCTAAAATATTAATAGACATAAAACATTTTTATTCACAGATGGTCAAAGTAAACAATATAGTTGACCCCCAGACCCAGGTGTGAACTCCCTAGGTCCACTTACATACTTGATTTTTTTCAACATAAGTTACACAGAGTATACTTTTCTGTTGCCTCCCCCTCTTCTGCTTTTGCAACCCCTGCGAAACAAAGATCAACCCTTCTTCCTCGTCCACCTACTCAATGTTAAGACTAAGAGGATGAAGACCTGTATGGTGATTCACTTCCATTTCATGAACATTAAATATATCTTCTCTTTCTTAAAGTATTCTTAATAACATTTTCTCTTCTATAGCTGATTTTACTATAAGAATGCAGTAATGTAACACATAGAACATATAAAGCACAATGAATTATTTATGTAATAATAAGGCTTCTTCCAATCAGTCATAGGCTATTAGTAAAGTTTTATGGGAATCAAAAAGTATATGCATATTTTCAACTGTGTACAAAGCCAGCACCCTTAATCCCTACATTATTCAAGGAGCAATTGCATTTCCTTAAATTCAAACACAAACACATTAAGATGGGCTGAGCAAGATCACTTAAATTCGGCTCGGCGCCTATAGCTCGACCGGCTAAGGCGCCAGCCATGTACACCGAAGGTGGTGGGTTCGAATCCCCAGCCC